CCATGGGGCCACATATTGCAAGACGATTTGCGAAGTAAAATATAAAACTGAACGAAAACTACTACTGGCTAAACATCAATATAAGGCGGGGCCGACAAGGCCGTCATAGCTACTACGGCTGACAAACCATTATACATACAAGGCCTACAAGCCCAACATACTGCACTAACTGATAGGAAACGTCTACAAGCCTCTACTGATGGATGTACTGAGATCAGAATAGGGTCCCGACCTACCCATAACCTATATACATATGTATATAGAATGTACACAAAACTTTAGACCCGGCAACTCCAAAGGACATGGAGCTTACCGATAAAGCTGAACTCGGGCAACACCTACTGAGGAGGTCTACCCGTCGATCTATTTGAACCTGCACACTTGAAATGCAGCGTCCCCAGAAAAAGGGACGTCAGTATGAAATAATATACCGAGTATGCAAAACGATAATATAACTGAAAGCTGAAACTAAACTGATAAAAATAATAGTTGAAAGTAACTGGGAGTCAAAGATAATCTGAAGATATGCTCACTTGCTGCTCNATATATATATATATATCTGCTCTGTCGTAGTAGGCTCGCTCATAGGCGCTCGGCCTTACTAGGCTCTGTATCTCGGCCAGCTGGGCTCGCTCATAGGCGCTCGGCCACAATAGGCTCGATATATAACTTACCATCTAATCAGAGGTTGCCCAATATGGGTCTGCCCGTCGATTATAGTTCGATGGTAATGAAAATATTGTAATAATTTATGTATAGGCTCTCTGCTCTCTTGACTGGAAGAGGACAATACTCAATTAAATATAAAGTCCCGATAAGGAGAATACTGTAATTTATGAGACTAGGATAATGTATATAAATTCGGGAGTATGAACTTCTCTTTATGCCTCGTTATTAAACATATGTAATTACGAGATCATGCCAAAATGAAGGAAAGGCTTAGCCTTAACATACCCGGAGTAGGGAAAAATCCGTATGATATTCTTAGAAAAGGTTACACCATACTCCTTTAGAACCGCAAAATCTTTAGTTGCTAAGGTGCTAATAATTCTCGTTGGAATTATTTTGTTGCAAGAAATTTTGTTGAAAACTTGTTGGATTGAGTTTAGCATCTGTTTTGAAATGTTTGAATTAGGAAGAAGGATATATGATTTCTTACTTGATTATTTTAAGTCCAAATGAAGCCAAACGTACTAAATGTCTTACACGTAAGTGTCATATGTATATTACTTTAGATGGCCATCTTTCAATCAAGATTGTGAGTCACTTAATTTGAATGGGGCTGCTACGTCATGCCATTTAATCCTTTCCAATATATGCCTAATTAATTAGGTAATATTCCATTACCCAATAATTAATCAATTACCCACATAATTAAGAATTATCTCAATTTACTTAAAATACTACTCACTTTTAACATACCTTGTACACCTTACTATCATGGTTATGTAGTACCTTGTATGTCACTAGTCCATAAATATCGGGTATTATCGCTCGGACCGTATTGTATCTCAAATCAACAACCTTTAATGAAACTCATTTTTTTTATTCGTTTACCCTTTATCTTTCACGGCACGTACTTATTGCTTGTTATAAATAGCATAAATGCTTATAATCTCAAGAAAATCTCATCCCCGAGTCTACGTCAATTAACTGAAGACGAAACTTTAATCGTACGAAAAGCGAGATGTAACAATATTCTTACTAAAAGGAAAGCAAATATACGCCATTGATTAAAGCGTAATTGAGTATGATATGAGATGTGTTATAAACTTGTGTTCGAAAATAATTTCTGCAAAAAATAAAATAAATAGAAGTAGAAACAGAATAGAAACAGAGATAAATAAAAGTTCCGAGCTCAACAGAAAAATGTGTTTCCTTAACGAATTTAATCCCCTCAGTGTTGCCCAAGGTTATTGGATTAATCCCTCCTATGATAGAACGGAACAACTATTTTGTAATACCGGCAATGTAAATTACAAAATTTCGTTGAACTCAACAAATGACAGTAAACCACACTTATGCTTACGTTTTTGCTTTGAAAAAACAGTATAGAAATGCAGAAGAGAGAGAGGAGAGTATGCAGATTTTTCGGTGCTAAAAAATGAGGCAAAACCTCTGAATTTATAGCCAAACAAGCTGGGTTGAATAGGTGCGAAGGTACCTGTTCATATGAGGTACCATTTCGGCAGAAGTCTAATCGCGAATTTTAAACTCAAAATAATCGTTGGGAACCGCGAATTTTAAATTAAAATTCCGCGAAAAAATAGTGTATAACGCAAAATAAATTACTGAGCCGAGCGACGACGACATCGCGAGGCATCACTTTTCTTAACTCTTTAAGAGCTAAAAGATGTGCTTCTCTATATAAACACAAAGATTTTCTTCCTTTTTTCGACGAGGGACAAAGTGCATTAGTAAAGGAAACAACTTTAAACTTTTCGTTTCTCTCCAAATCTTTTCCCTCCATTTCCCATTCACACATCTAATCTAATTAGATAAAACCCAATAAGAAGATCATTCACCAAATTATTGAGCATATGTAGCATTTCTAAAGTTTGTTGTTCTTCAAATAAAAAAGACGACGAAAATTAATTAGAATAAGGAAAAGAAACTATATTATAGATGAATTTTAGTTCTATTAAAATGAATTTGTCATGTACCTCAAAATATGTCAACTTCAAACTTATTATAGAATTTTTCAACCTGGAAATAATCGTAAAGCACTTTGTAAACAGTTTCACTTATCCATTTCGATTTTATCAATTGCAAAATCAAATACTTCCTCGCCTATATTACATGACTACGATTTTTGGATTTGCTTAATCAAGTCTTTCTTTGCTACTCCACCCGAACACTTTTATGATTTACACATATATAGGTAAAAGCTGGTCTAACAGTTTGAACTTTAGACCTTGGCATAAGAAGTTATGCTTTGCTAAAGCTTTGGCAGAGAAGGTCTAAACTTGAGAGAATTGATTCTGAGGCAGCTAAAGTTTAAAAATATCATAAATTTTGCGGTATTTATACATTTGGTGTTATATTATCCGCTTTGAGTGAAACTTGCATGATTTGTCTCAAAAGAGTCACACACCATTATAAGTAGCTTCCATTTGTTTTCATTTACCAATTAATATGAGACTATTGTTCACAAACTTAACACACTCCCTTGAATTATGTTTCGCATGACCAGTTACCAAACCACTCGACCCTTATTTTATTTATTTATTTTTTAATTCTCTCCCAAAATCAACTAAATTACAATATTAAGATACATTGATGGTGTATTTTATCGTAATTTATGGTTTTAAAATAAAAGAAACTTTAAGACTTTTAGAATTGAATACATTAAATTTTTAAGATTATGAGTTTATGTCTACTATATATTATGATTTCAGTAATTACACATAAATTTATACTTCACATTGAAAATTATTAGTTCAATTGAATCCGTATGTATAGTTCCACATATGCCCCTGCTTGGTATGAGAGTTAGGTAATATTGACTGTGCGGGTTTAGCGAATTCGGTCACTTTAATCCAAACTATATATTTATCTTAAAATATTAATTTAATACAGAATATCTACATATTATTAATCTCAAACTCAATAACTTAAAATTATTAGAACTCCGAACTCATATAAACTTTAAATTTTAAGTCCACCGCTCGTTAGGTGATTTGACTATCATGGTTTTTCGCCGTATCAGTTTTTTCTCAAAAGGAAAGGATTAGTACCTTTTTCTCTACTAGTCTAGCACCTAGAAAGAAAAAATTACGAGCCTAATCTCCATAAGAGGAAAAAGAAAATAGAATTCACTCGTGGCAACACGCAAGGAGAATGAGATTGTGACAATATTCCAAAGTATAATATTTAAAAAAACAAAAAGCCAAAATCTTGTACAAGTTGCGTACTTCAGCTGACTAAGCAGACAAAATACTTAATTCCATACGTTGTTTCTGACCAATAGCAGCTCAAGAATTTGAATACTCTTTAAAGAATTTCAGAGGAAAAGAATTATTTTTTAATTATAGATTGATAAATCCCAAAGCTAAACCATGACTGAGAAAAAAATACACACAACTGGTTAAGAGGAATTTAATAACCAAGAAAATAAAACAATTATATAATGCTAACCAAACAGAAAACTGTTAAATAACCAAGAAAAGAAAAAAGAATATAGAACTGGTTGAAAAGGGTGTCATTTTCTTGACATAATAAACTATAAGAAAGATAAAGTGGATAGTGATTGAAAGTAAAACTAGAGAGAGAAAAAGGACAATTTGGTGCACTAAGTTGCTGTTATGTGCGGGATCCGGGGATATCCGGATTATAAGGGTCTATTCTGTAAGAGACTGTTTTCATGGCTCGAACTCGTGACCTCGTGATCACATGGCAATAACTTTATCAGTTACGTCAAGGTTTCTCGTTTAAAGCTAGAGAGAGAATTGTACTAGTATCTATAGTGGCGGAGCCAGAATTTTCATTAAGGAGAGTCAAAATATAAACAAACAAACTCACTAAGAAGTCAAAAAATATCATTATATATATATCTTTTAAAAAAAATTATCGAGCTATACAACGTAATTTTTTGACAAATTACACCTGTGGTGCATGTGGCTATGCCACTGAGTAGGTATATAATGGCGTATGCATGTGAATTGTTATTTGCTAAGCTGCATGTTGTACTAAGTGTATACTTAGTGGATTATTTTAATGTAGTTTGGGAAGTGAAAATGAAAGCAAAAACTATGCCAAGAAATATGGTAAAGAGAGAGAAAATATTATTGCTGTTGAAGAAGCAGAGGCAGCAGATTATGGTTATTATGTACATGGAGATACGAGCCATTAGCAGTAAAGGAACCTTCTCCTTAATACTCTTCCTTTTCCTCCTTTTCATTCTTCTACTCTTTCTTCTTTAAAATTTACAATTCATCTCTATACCAA